TATGGCAGTGACATTTCTCATTATAGAAGCTTTGAACTTGTTTATCTCAGTTTATGATAAATGTCACTTCCACGTTGCGTAACAACACGCTTCGATTGTAACTCCCGGAGATACAATATAGAAAATTAAATTTGAGATAACTGACGTAAACGTGAATCTGAATTTTTTTGTTTTTATTTTTTTTTTTATTTCAATTCTTTTACAACAGGACACTCCGTTTAAAATCTGCCTTTTACGTGTCAAGCGAGATTATCAAGCGATGTTAACGGGAATCATCATGTGCTATCGCTAGTGAATTCTCAGCGCCACTCTCTCTCACTCCAGTAGTTGTCATGGAAACGCCTCTTTGAGATTCTCCCTCGTTGAGCGTAGGCAGTTTCTAGAGAGAAGTGCAGGATGATAATGTCGATCTTCAGGATTCATCTCTAACTCGAGATATACGACTCGTCGTATTGCATAAATACAAGTCGACTGATAAATTCTAAAAACGATCGATGGTGTCTCCGCACAAACTTCAATTTTTTAGACGGAAATACTACTGCTTTGCGCAAGATTTGCAAGACGTCAGGTCGGTGCAAAAATATAATGATCCTTTCAATTCGATTAATCACTCGGTTTTTCTTCCCTAACAAATCCTGTTCGTCTATTAATCGAGTCCGATAATCTTCGATAATCACTCGGATAGAACGAATATCTCTTCTTTTTTCGTCGCGAAATGGTTCTTCTAGTTTCCTCCATTAAAAACGATTCATTCGGATTGATAGCGATGCTTAAGAAATCGTCTCAGTTTGGAATTAAGGAGGATATAGAAAAGAGAAATATATGTATATATAAATCTTTAGAAAGCGTTTTGCAGCGATCTTCGCGAAATTCTTCGCGACGAGCGATTCGTCGCGCCTTTTGCCTGATTAGATTTCACATCATCCTTCGGTCACGAGCGGCTTACAGGACGCGCCTCTCTTTCGTTCCTCGTCGTCACCTCCGGAATCCCCTCGACGGAGCTCCGGTATGTCGTAAAAAAAAAAAAGGAGGGAGAAAGTCCGGAAAAATCGAAGGCGACCTATAAACCGAGATGTCATCGTCGCCGCGGTCGACGGGCTCTTTTCAAGGAAATATTCTACAGCGGGTCGAACGTAAGACGCAGCCTGGATTTTTTCGGACAATAGCTCGTGTGATTTTTCGTACGCGCGATGTGTTGCCGAATTATTTCATCATTTTTTCCGCGCTTCTATCAAGAATATATTTTTATTTGCGGTATCTCGCGCAGAGATAAAGCGGAAGAGCACAATATGTATGCAATATTAATACGCTTTGGTAATGTAAGCTGATATATGTATATAGTTTTCCCGCAGAACGCGTCGCTTTGAATTTTAATTCAGGATTAAAGGGCTCGCGCGGGTCTTTATTGATGGCAAAATTCGATTATACGGTTAATGTATACAGATATATTTGCATGACCTACTGAGAAACATGTAATTTATCTTCGCGCGCGAGGGATTTACATGCTTGATATACATCCCCGCGTTTATCGGAAATAAAATTCGTCGTTAGGCGACATAATACTAACTGGACGATATTAACAATACATATTATCGATATAATCTCTTCGGACTACCTAGATTGTTAATCGAATATTCATTAGATCACCTAAATGCAGCGTCATTTAATTATGAAATTCAGCATTCGTGATTTCATCGATGAGGCTCGCGGCGCGGTCTCCCTACCGGCGCGCGATAGAATTTCTATTATGTTAATCGTCGCAGGAACGACATTGTTCGTATTACTATTGTCATTATCGCGCGAATAATTATCTCCGGCGACTACCGCCTTTGTCTAGCGAACGAGCGCGGATTTCTCCGGCAAAGCGTATTCATAATGTTTCGCTCTTATTTATTTCACGCGCTTATACTCTCGTTCCTTTCCCGAGATCCGATAAATTTATCCTCCTCGATCTCTCCCTCCGCCACCCGTCTTTATCCTCTTCCCTCGAGGTTTCTCTTCTTTCTCTCTCACACACGTTTCCCCGTTGTCGGTGAGGTCGAGTGTAAAACATTTATAGTGTCAGGAGCGTGTGTAAGCTGTGCCGACGAGAAGGTATACCGGGCGTACCAGGACTCTGAATGGCGTCGTCGTTCGTTCGTCAGATATGCGCGCATGTGCGCTCCAGCTGCAACGCACGTCCGGAGGGTTCTAAAAATACGTCCGTGAGCGCGCGGGGCCACCCCGAGTGCTCTTGAAACTGTAGCAACAGCCGAGAAGAGTCCGCGGGAGAGAAAATGCCGGCCGGTAGGCCGCAATTGCACGACGCCAAATTTAGGAGATGAATTTTGCCGTACACGCGCACATATTCTGAGATACCGTTTCCCTGATTAAAATTGGCGGTCGTTCGAAATGGTAGTGTATCAAGAAGAGGGATAAAAAAAACTGTTTCGCGACTTTTGTATACATATTTAAGTTTATTCCTCGTAAAATTAACATTTATTTGAACAAGATTCGAAGACGGGTTTTTTACTATTTGTATTTTATTTACATTTTTAGTTTTGCTGCAAAAGCGTATTGGAAACTATGATTTCTCTCAATATTTGGATATTTTTTATGTCGATTGCGATGAAAGTCTCGTAAATATGAGATATTCCGTAGATAAGGATATGTCTATATCTCCATCGCTATCACGCGCCACTGGTGCAGGGAGGAGAATCCCTTTTCATCTGGAGGGCGTTCGGGCGGTTATTCTAAGCGCTATAGCCTTTGCACCCTCTCGTCCCATCTCTTCGTTTCTATGGTGATTCGAAGAGGGGTTGCGTCTCCTGTGGGTCGTCTCGCAGGTTGATTGTTGGTGGCATATATACAGCGCCGGTTATACATGTACGATCCATAAGCGGTGAGGAATACTTCCTACTTTTTGCGTACGCAACCACTCGACGGAAACTCGATGTTGGCAATATATAGCGTTTACGTTTATTTATTCCTTTTATCATAAATGCTTTCGCGAACATTGAGCAATAAAATATGGAATAAGGACGATGTAGATAGCGATCGATTTGTTGTAAGAATATATATAAAAAACGCGAATTTAAAGAAATCTCTGAGATATCTGTCGATGATAGTGTACGCTGTGGTGTTTCAGCGAAAAGAAAATGTATTCTTGTATTTCTTTGTAGTGTTATCAATCGTAATCATACCGTAATGATCGAACCATCGCGATATCGCGTTTGACATATTTTTTGTCCCTTCGTCCGCCCATCGCCGGACAAATCGCTGGCCGAATTCCAGGGTTATAAATCGTCGAGTACACATGTCGTCGGAAGATCTCTCGTTGTCTCTCGCACATCCGGCAACTCCTGCGCGGAAAGTTTTCCGCGCACTCGTCAGTCGATTCCACTTGCGCGAACTTTCGAGCCTCGTTGACTTTATTGAACCGGACGAACGCGACAAACGCGCGACGAGGCGAACTGAAATAATAGTCTGCCGCCTCTAGACGACGATGTTACCCGGGCTTACCAGCGCCGTCATAATTACAGACACCGCGATCGATAACTTATCACTCGGAAACTAGGAAGTGTTGTCTTCCCCTTCAAGTTGTTGAACAAGCGCGATACAACATTCTAAGTATCCTTTTCTTTCTTTTTTTTTTCTTTTTTTTTTTAAGTAGCAGTGCGCCTACATCTTGATTTATTCAAGTGTAAAAAAATAGCTACCTCTACAAATTGCATGCTTGTGAAATTATTTTCTGAGAAATATATCCGTATAATCAAGAGGCACGTGAACCACACGCGTGTAATTAATTTATATATGTAGTTTTTTAATTTTGCGAAGTTGCGAAAATTAAGTACTCAGTTTCATAAAGTTTAAATCGCCGGAAGTTGGTAAATTGCGTGAAGTTTCATTACGTTGTTAGATGGATAATCCCCACGAGATGTTACAGAAGAAATCTTAAGACGGTGGTGTGTACGCGCGTGTCTTGACGCGAATGAAATACGGATAATGCAACCGACGTGGTACATTTTCACGATGAAATGTGCGAGATGAAGCGGATTAAGATCACGGATAAATGAAAAGGGCAAAACATTGCGCACGTTTTTATGGAAGTTATGATGAAAAGTATTATTTACGAGATATATATATATA